GCACCTGTTTACAGTGTCACCTCTGTTTGCTAATTGTCTCCTTGAGCTACATTTTACTTCTAATGCATTTATTTTTGACAGGCAGCGTCTATTTAGAAATCACATTACTTCAAGAGCAATTGTTCTTTTGTCTATCAAGTAAATGAAGTGTTGTTATACAGATTTCAGGTTCTGATTAGTGAAGTATCAGTATGCCACAAAGGTCAATCAGTTATTTACCTGAAGTAACAGAAGGATGACAGGCCTTTTTGAAATTTTACAGTTTCTGGTAAGAGACGGAGCCATTTAACAGTACAGTAGTAACACTGATAACAGAAATGCTACCACAAATGCTAATAATACTAAGAGTGATATGCATAGGGATTACTTTGCCTAAAAATAATAATGCTGTGGTTATGTCAATATCAAACATGCATTCTTGCTGTGAGCCTGGTGTTCAGGCTCCAACACTTAAGAGAACAGGGTAGTCTGTGTTTACATATAAATATATGCACACATTGGAACCCCATATACATGCCCAGTCCCTGGTCTGAAAAACCTCATTAGTGATTTGCAACATGCCAACAGAATGGAACACCGTTCTAAAGGATGGCTCTAATTCAAATTTTATTTAAGTTCACAGTTTAATTGTGAATTAACAGAAGCAAATTATCCATTAATGTTTTAAGTCTCACATATAAAACACAACGAGCAGGTAGAAATGTGCTGGTCATACGTGGTCATTTTAAACATAGCTTGTCAGTATCTTCTACACCTGCCTATTACCTCTAAGGCCTGTTCAAAATTAAAGGCCCAATCCAGGGAAAAAATGCTTATAACTGGATTCATTAATGAAGTAGAAAGACTGGACCTGCTGTGAAATTTGCTCTGTTTTCAGTATACAACTACACAAATTGATGAGTGGCGTAACTTACAATGGCTAAAAAAAGCTAACATTCCATAATCATAATCGGAACAATAATGGGATCAACGTCTAGTTTTAGCAGCTTCACAGAAGTAGTTTTATTGATAGCAACAGGGGAGATTTTTCAAAGACACAAGTTGGAAGTCGGATGCCTTTGAAATCTCTCCTAGTTCCCTAATTTCTATTACATGTGTTAATATGAACATAATGGTAGCAATAAAGCTCAGTTGTGTGTCTGAACACATTTCAACAACTCCAGGATGAATATCTAATTTCCCATCAGATCTAGTGAGGTTTTAATACAAATTTAAAGAGAATCTGTACTCCCCTCGTACCTATTTATATCCATTCAGTAATTTAATGTCTTGTCCATAAGTGATGCTTTGCCAAATCTGTTCCAGCATTATGGTAGCCCTGCTACAAAAAATAAAAAAATAAAAAATAAAATCTTGAGTTTTCTTACAGCCACATAGCCAGTGTGGCATAGTGTTTTTCAGGGAGACCCATGTTCAAATTACTTTACAGCCAATATACACAGTAAGTGACTTTGGATCTGTAAAACATTAAGTCTTCTTCATGTGTTACTCGTGTGATATGATTACTAATGAATGCCATCCCTGGCATGAGGCATGCTGGTAGATCCACAGCTGGGCATCCATGCATTACGTATGGTCATCTGCAGTGAATCCTAAATATGAGCAGGTGTTCACACAGAGACTTCCATGTGACTGGAAAACTGGCAAGTAATGCATGAAGGAGACTCATCTCCTCCTTCAATGTTCATGTCAAGAGAAATAGAAAACACATATTAGGCTGAAAACAGTTGCCTTCTTTATATTAGTGAAACATTTTGTACAGTCAGTCTTTAGAATAAGGTGTTTTAAATAACCAATAGTTTGCGACATGACTGACAGTGTTCTCATCACATGACAGCAGTTCATCACATTCCGCACTCTGGTGAAATTTATTATTTACTTATTTAAAGCATTTCCATCTCCCTCTTGAGCCAAAAAGGAAAAAAGGCTCTCAGCACTGCTTACAACTGACAGTGATAAAACAGTCCTCACCATTAGATTCACAACTTAAAAAGAGATCACATGAAAGGAAAAGGGATTGGAAGGGAGGAGGAGTTCTTGCAATGACCAACTGGAATGTGAATATTTCAAGGAAAGGAGGAGCCAAAGGTCATTTTGGTAGCTAGTCATTTATATCCTAGTTTCTTGCTTAGCCTGGGAAACATCAATGATTTCTTGAAATATTGTTTAAATTGTGAAATATATTGTGGCATGTGATGCTTATGGGTTATCTTTAGTTTAGCAGAAGGCTCTCACCCACATCCTAGGCCATACTTTTTTAAAAACAATCACATTCCAATCCGGAAAGTCAGCTTTAGCAAGAACCATTGAAATTGCAAGTGGAGCAGAACTGATAACCACTGCCTTCCTTAATGAACATCCCACCAATTCACCACTATTGAAAGATATGCCCAGTGTCTGTGGTTCTACTGTCGTCCACCTCTTTTGCTTTGCTGAAGCAAAGATGGAGCGGGGGGGCGGACGGGCTCCTGTTCAGCAGTGTCAATAGATGCTTATGTCCTTGGCACGTAGCTGGTGTTCCAGCAGTAGTTTGAGGACAAGGGTGATGACTCCGAGCTTCAGCTGAGACCTTACCACTCCATTTTACAATCTGCTACACTCTGACTGTGGATTGTGTGATTGAGCCACAAGCCACAATCCTCAAAGTTCTTCTGATGCCAACCAAGATACCCTGGAATAAGTGATTTATATATGCTGTATGTATGTATGTGTTGTACAATAATGAATACATTATATTTCTTAGACTGATTGGGCAATTCCAACATAACTCTTTCCAAAAAAATAAAGGGGAGTCCATACAATTTCCACCACATCCATGTCAATCCTATGCAAAGGCCACCTCTGAACAAGCCACCTCTGGCTCTTACATGGGAAAGCCCAGCACTGCTGCAATTTTATTAGTTTGCCAAAAGAAACAGACACAAAAAAGCAATGCTCGCCTTAAGTCACATTCTAAATTGGCTCCCTAGAGCATTTTCCTACCTTGTTCACTAAAGCACTGTGTATGTTTTCTCAGTGTTTAGCATATGCTATGTAACCTGAGCAGGATTCATATTGTTCCTCTAGTTGTTTTTCTAAAATATGTTCCCATCAGGACCATAATTACATGCAAAATACTAGACACCGAATGATTCATAAAGATGTTTCAAAAAATTCTCCACCATTTTTTATTTTAGCAATCCTGAGGCGGCAATGTAGAAAGAATTAGGAAAGGATCACAGTCCCTGTCTTCTGTTTCAAACTAGAGACAAACTTCAGATCAATTTGTATGTCTGTCTACGTGTCAAGAACTGAATACTTAGAAATGGGTGAGGGAGATGTCTTCCCTAACATGCTATGAAGACTGGAATTAAGCTTCTGTTCTTTTGACAAATGTATGTAAGATAGAAATATAAATAAGTGACTGGACACTTTACTCAGTATATAAGTAACCAGTTCTGAGCCTTTTAAAGTCTAAAGTGATTCCTCTTTGGATTTGTTTGTTTATTTGTTTGTTTGTTTGTAAAGGCAGCAATTATACAGTTAGCCTTCCTCCTAAGTCTAGAAAAAATTGCTAGATGCCAAACATTTCACTAGTCAACTTGCCCACACATCTCTATGTGAATCATTTGTGATGTAAAAGGGGCGCAGGGGCAACAATGGGTTGCATTCAGAATGATTTCATTATGCTTAGAGCACGCCCACTGAAATCAATGCAGCTTAAGTTAGACATGACTAAGAAGGCCCACCAATTTCAGTAAGTCAGCTTCATGTATGACTAAGTCTGGATGCAACCCAACTGACTTTGTAAAGCCTTCCCATCTAGTTGCCTACGGAGGATTATTCATTGCTACAGGAGACTGGGCAATTGGTGGTGGTGGTGGTTTTATTGATTTCCAATATATAACCATTACAAAGAAGAGAGAAAAAGATGCAAAAACAAAATCCTCCCCCCTTCCAGGACAGATCACTCTAGTTAAGTTTGACAAAGTCCAATCTATTATTTCAGTAGTTGCTATTCTTCAGGGTTATCAATAAAGTATTTTATAAAAGAATGCCATATTTCAACAAAATCGTCTACATCATTTGTGTTATTCAATGCATTTAATCTCTTTGTTATTTCTTCTGATGCAGCAATAGACCATACATTCTGTTTCCAATTGGAACATCTGTGTATCTTCCATTGGAAACAGAAAATCCTATTTTAAAAATGGCAAGAACTAAGGTATTAACCCCTGAGATTCCTTTTCTTTATGAAAGCATTTTGATGCACACAAAGAAGATTCACACGTCACAACCAGCTCCTAAATTATGAATGTTCCATGTCAGCATCAGAATGTGGACTATAAAGGGCATTGTTTCCAATTGGATTAGTTTAACTATCCATTCTGCTCTGGGTACAAGATATACAGTATACAGAACTATATAGTCGCTGCATTTAAGGCAAGGCTGGGGAACCTATGGTGCTCTAGATGTTGCTGGGTTCCAGTCCCAACTTCCCTGACCATTGGACATGCTGGTTGGGACCAATGGGCGTTGGGAGTCCAACAAACTCTAGGTGGTCCTCCTCTAAGTCCTGGAGAGCAGATGTTTTTCACCACCATCTCCCACAGCCACCACTTTCTTTAAAAACAACATTTTATTTGCTATGTCTTAGTTTTCATTTATTGTCAGACACTTCGGATGCTTGCTATCAGGCAGAAAGGCAGGATGTAAATATTGTAAGTACATAAATAAAAGTGAGTGATTCAGGTTGTTTGATTTGAAACTGGTTCTACTTAACAGAAGTCCTCTGTACCACATGGAAAACTCATGCAAAACAGCTGCACATCTCATTAGGTTTTAGAGTAAGGCTCAGTATGGTCTGCAATACCTTGCTTGGCTTAACATGGTGGCTAAGGGTACAGAGGAAGCTGCCTTATACTGAGTCAAGCCCACTGACCTGCCTAGCTCAATACTGTCTACATTGACTGGTAATGGCTTCGCAGCATTTCAAACAGTGGACAATTCCCAGCCCTACCTAGAGATGCTGGGGATTAAACCTAGGACCATCTACATGTAAAACAGATGCTCTTCCGCTGAGCTACAACCCCCCTCCCCAAGCGTAAAAGCTAAGAGAAGACCATTTTCAACTTCCTCCTTGGTCATGAGCCCATCTTCCCAACTGGTCTGGCTTTATTGGCTTAGCCTTTAACTGGGAATGAGGTACATATTTCCCTTAGCATGTTCTCCCATTGACTGTGTGTGTTGTGTGTTTTAATGTAATATTTCCTGCGCCTTGGGGACAGGGCAGGCTTTTACTCCAATTAAAATATACTCGTGGCAATGTAAATGTCCTTCCTTGTTATTTAGTTATAAAATTTCTACTCAGTTTCTCTTCCAGCTTGGGAACCCAAAAAGGCAAACAGTAATATAAACCCAACATAAGCATTAAAAAAAAGAAATCACTTGTCCAAAACCACAAGATAAAGATATGGGTTGTGTACACACTATTTACCTTTAAAGCACATTAGAAAAATGTTTTTTCCCCTCATAGAATTTTGGGCACTGTAGTTTGCCCTTCATAGAGTTACTACAGTGCCCATAATTCGCTGAGGGAAATAATGTCATTTGCATGTATTCTAAAGATATAATACGTATACAGTCATGTACACCAAAACCAAGATGTGGGTCTTTAACTAAAATCCCTATATCTGCTACCTAAATACTTGTTGAAAAGAGTAGGTCAGGCTGAACTGGGCTAGATTAGATTACAATATTCTAAATGTCTGAGAGAAAGAAGTAAGAAACTATGAAAATGAAAACGAAAATTAACAAACCCTGCAACATTTATTTTATAACTTTTCCTCCTATATTTTCCTTCTCCCACCCCCAACATCCAGAATAATCTCACCTCTTTCTTCACCTCTTACCCCCACCCCCACACCAAACAATCTTAATGTAGTGATAAAATGAGGAAAGAAAGAAGGGGGGTAGGAAGATTATTATAAAACAGGATATTTATGGCTAGGGTCTTTGGAACATTCATAGTCTTACATATATTTTCTCTAAGTAATCAGGAATGTATTGGTATTTTGAAATTATGTATCTCTAATAACACAAAAGTACTTAAGAACAGAAATAGACAGTAATGGAAAATGCAGTCAACTGTTGACAACATATAGAATTTCAGAAAATAATTTACAGAGAACAGCAGAGCAGATGAGTCAAAATTTTCTCAAAAATATTCCTTGCCTCCGATAGTCCAATGTAATTCATTTTCTATCTCTGTTCATTAATCATTGTTAAAATTAGTGATCCATTTCTTCCACTCTGCCATCTGCACTCAGCTTCGTAACAAACATGACACCTTCCTGCATAATAAAACCTGACAACTACGAGGATGCATTTCCAAATAGCTTTCTGCATATTTGCACCTCTATAACCGATTCCGTTGTCAGACAAAAGTGGATTATTTAACCAGAGTTCTTTCTTTATCAATGCAGTCTCTCTCTCTCTCTCTCTCTCTCTCTCTCTCTCTCTCTGCATGCACACACATGCATGTATGTATAAAATAATCAAGTAAAATATGTTCAGTTAAATAGAATTAGGAAGAAGGTACTTTAGATTTCAACTATAGCAACTGATAAAACCTAGCATGTAAACACAGCACTGTGTGTCTCTATGAAGCCTCTATGTCAAGAGACACAATTTTTTGTCCGAACCTTCTGACCCTATGAATGTATCAGATGTCCCACAGACTAGCCATAATTTGTGTGTGCCAAGTGTTTAGTCACATGGTATGATAAGACCCTTGCATTTCCATTGTGTTCACTTTATGCCTTTCGCCAGTAATAATTTATATTTTTAGAGATTAATGTTCATTCTTAGTCTCCCAAAACTGGGGGCACAAGTTCATGCTCTTATTGTACAAGCAGACACAGTAAGTGTGTCCCCACTGATCTAATATGCTTCTGTGGATTCCTTCCTGTTCCTCTGCACGGGATGCACTCAGAAATTTTATGTTTGCTCATTTAAGGCTGTCTCACCATTCTGCCCATTTGGCACTTCATACTGCTGCGTTCAAAATGGCTAGAACTCTTAAAATGCTTTAGATGAGAGGGAGGGAGGAAGCAAATCTTCCACTGTCTTCAGGCATGAAACTTACTGACTTATTGCTGTCATTTCTCCATCAGATGCACTTGTATTGGAAGCGTCTAATGGGTGGGGAGAGAGAAAAAAAAATCCACCGGTATTATCTTTCTGGACATGTCAATGAAAGCTATTAATTTATTTTAATGCATTATTGACATCTTCTTTGCTATAGATGGAAAAGCAGAGAAGGTAGAAAGGAAAGAACCTATTCATACAGGGATAGATTAGCCACCAATGCTCTCTGCAAGGCAGGGGTCCAGGCAAAGTGGGGACCCAGCTAGAACCCATTGTTTAGGATCAACTGGATCCTCAAGTGTGCACTTCTTGTTTATACGAGTTTCTGCCCTGCTTGCTGAGAGGTGACAGAAGCAGTGGTGCCCCATCCTTCCATACTGGATTGCATGCTGAGAGAGAGCAGCTATGTATTCACCCAATGTGCATTACCTGGATGGCTTCCTCACCCCATGCAGTGCCCCCAACTTCTGTTCAAGAAGCTGTCATCTGCACATGAACTGTCATCTGCACAGCACAATGGCTGTCTCAAATATACATACTTCAGTTTCATGGTGAAATGAACATGCCTCAAGTTTTCCTTTCCAACTAAAGCTGGTTTGAGGGGAAACACATCAAACATGGGTATTTCTCAAGAAATACCCATTTCTGCATCATGGATAACATAATGTGCACAGAGACTCAAATGCCAGTGGTCAGAGTACACTGGAGCCAGAGCCATGTACACAGCCTTAGTCTACCTCCATCACATAGTCCAGGCATAGGCAAACTCGGCCCTCTCATCAACCATGACCACTGGTCCTGTTAGCTAGGGATGATGGGAGTTGTAGTCCCAAAACATCTGGAGGGCCGAGTTTGCCTATGCCTGACATAGTCTCTTAGTGATTGTGCCAATATGGTGAGGCTCACTGGACGTCAACATGAAACTGAGTCTTCAGTGTGATTGGTCCATTCATCTAGAATGCTCTTCCAATAGGGATTCAGCAGGCGCCTTCTGTATTAACTTCCAGACAGTTGCTGAAACCTTTCCTTTGCCACCAGACAAAGGTTAAGACAGTTAAGAAAAACATCATCCATAACAGTCAGTTGGTGATTTGTTTTGATTTTTCCTGTGATTCTTGTTGCATTTTAATGGTTGTAAACCACTTTGAATTTTTAGAAAATAAAATTATGGCATACATGCAACAACAATCTTATGCATGACCAATTGGCATGTGATGGCGCATGCAGGCATCACGGTGACCTGGAAGTGACTGGAAAAGGGAGGCAGAACAGGGGCGGGGTGAGGAGATGGCAGAATGGGGCAGAACGAGTCGATACACGCTCCACTGTTGTGTGCAATAACCTGGAATGCAAATCCCATACAAATCGGGGGTTGCCTGTACAAATACTGTGCTTTGATGTTTTGTTTTTGTTTTTTAAAAAAATTAAATTGTGGTATACAGATTGATTAAAAAAAATGGGATAGCTCCATGTACACCACCTTAGGCTTCTTGGTGGAAGAATGAGACACAAATATGACCACACACAAAGAAAAATCATCTCACAAAATTCAAAATATGTCTAAACTCTCCCCCCCCATGTGCTTGCACACACTCAACATTTGCATATCTCAACATATAATTTTTATCAAATTTTAAAATGCCTGCATATTTCTAGAATCACAATTTATAAAATATTGATAGCTAGAAACATAGCAGTTACCCCCCCCCAGCCCACCCCTCAACCACCACCACTACCTCCATAGTAATATTGTTCTCAAAATTTCAGCTTGAAATGCTAAAATCTGAGCAGTGAGTTTTACAAATATAAAGATGTTACATTTTTTTTAAAAGGATTTCTGGTTGTTTTTTAAAAGAAATCTTCATTATTATTTGCCAGGCAGTTTATGGAAATGAAGTGTCTAGCCTATTTATTCATTTAACACATCTCCTTAAAGCTTGCAATAAAATTTTTGAGAGCAACTTGCAACGCTCTTTTTTTCCTCCATCTCTCCTCTGAACAAAAAAAAAAATCACAAACAGACATTGTCTCTATAGCTGTCTCTTTTGCCTACTAGTTTCCTTTTTTCTTCACATGTCTGCATACTGACACATTCAATTTCAGGTTATCAGCACATCTGAATTACGGAATACTGATGGGGATAGAGGGCAAGCCTCTCTAGACTGATTAGCATCATTTAAGAAAGCATTCACTTGCTTGCTTCATTGGCTGCAGGGATTCCATGATGGGTGGCCTTTTAGCATTAGAAGTCAATATGGAGCAATCTCATTTGAATTAAATATGGACAAAAGAAAAGATCTGATTGTGGTTATTCATAGCTAACCTTTTAATTTCACAAAGCGCCCCCCCCCAAAAAAAAAATGGCTCTAAACCCTTAAAACTTAGGAACATAAAGGTATTATTTTTCTCATATATATATATATGGGATAGACACACACACACACACACACACACACACACACACACCCCTTTCCCCCTTTGATTTTATCTTGTTGTTTTTAATTTGCACAAGGAAATGCAAAGCCACATTTTATGTTCTAAAGAAATATCTTTATGAATGTTCAAAGAAAACCTTTTAACCTAGTTACCCCTCAACTATAATGAAAGCACAGTGCCTAATTCTAATCCATAAAATGTATGTAAATCCACTCTGAAAAACATATTTGTCTATATGAGATTTACACTTGCATCAGAATGGGTTACAGATAGAACTAAAGTATTTCGTTAACACAGATGACGATTTATGGCTGGTCACACTGTGACCTTTGTTTGGAAAGGGGGCCTAAACTCATTGTATAGTTGAAACTAGTTTAAAAGCATAACAGAACTCTCATCGAGGGGGAGGGGGAGGGGAACGATTCACATGATAATTTTATTTGAGCTCAGTGAACAGAACAATAAAATAGTAATGATATTTCTCTGTGGCTGGATTAATGGAATTATT